TCGTACAACTATAATTTTTTTCTTTCGTCACCTTCCGCTGTTCCTCTTTTACTAAGTTGATTTTTATCACATGTCACTGCCCAAAAAAATTGTATCGCTCTATTTGGGTTCTAGTAAAACCTCATGTTTATAAAATAATTGTCACGCCAAACGTTCTCCTTAGATTGGAAAAATCATCAGGGCACCGAATGGCCTGGTCTAAATAATTGCAAATAATTATAACGTTCTTTGTTGTCACCGTCGTTGTTACACAATGCCAATACCACACTAATTTTATGTTAATATTTTCTTTCAAAAGATTACTCCGGTGCCGAATTTTTTCTTGTTTAACATTTCCTGAGTTTTCGCATTTTCCGTTCAGATTTTCCGATTTCTAATAATTTTGCAATGTTGTAAAAATGTAAATTTGGAGAAGGCGCGTGCGAAAATGCTAATCAGAACAACCCAACCACAATGATAGCGAAGATGCGAAAGGCAGAAAATAGAAGTCGAAACGAAAAGCAAAATGCAAAACATTTACCACACATCTACTCAGGGGTGCAACCAATTGTAAAATGGGATGTATAAATCAGAAAGAAGTCTATTGCAATTCAACCTAATTTTATTTTAATAAATTTAGTTCTTTTATGTGAATTAAAAACTTGTATAGCTCCAATAATGAAATAGGAGGCAAAATCCAGAAAAGTTGCCTTATGAGGCGGCGTAGTTTTTATAAAAAATTGATTTACTTTTCGACCATGATGTCAGAAATGCAGATGTGAAAAAAATTTACACCAAATGTGTACACTTCGCGCTTTTAAACATAAAAACTTACACGTATCACTATTGTAACTAAATAAAACTTTAACTATTATAAGGTGTCGTACTGGAATAAAATTATATTAACTTTAGCATATTACTTTTTGCTGATAAAGGTCGAGTCGTTTGTAGCCGATTTTACACCTTCGAAAAAGATTTCGCTCCTTAAATTGCCATACGGTTCACAGCATGAACCGAAAGAGATATGCGAACACTTTTTAGCTTTACATATTAATATACTTGAACCCGAATAACTGCTTTTACATAAAACTCAATTCTATAGCACAAAAGCCTTTATAATTTTTCTTTTCCGCAGGATTTTTCCAGGATTTTATTGCGTTCTAATTGAACTCAAACGCAATCGCACACGTAAAAGACGAAAAAGATACTGATAAAATATAAGAGGTGGAGGAACAGAAAAAGGACACAAATTTAGAATGAGGGCAAAGAGGAATTCATATTGACAGCCTGCGCTCAGTGTTGCAATAATAAGTATAATTTATTGCTTATTTGGTACAATACCTAACCCATAGTCTTCACGTGCTTGTAAATCTCGATCGTGTAATACTTTTTTCTCGCAGCGAGATAGAGTTTGGTAGACTGGGCATTTGGCAGCATATTTCATAAAATGTCGTCAAACAAAATGGTGAATACAAGATGCGCAATCGAGCTGAGAGGAACTGGCCGTGACGTCAAAATATACCAGAATGAGAGAGCAAAGACGAACTCGACAAGAAATAGAAGAAGCATCGAACAAAAGGCAGTATTGCCAAATTTTGAATTTGAAAAAGCACCAAATTTTTGTTGGTGTATTTTATGGACTTCATATGAACATATAATTTTATTGTAAGGATGCCGATTCAAATTAATAAAAATCAATGTTTCTTGCACAACGGTCGATTTCCTCTGGCATGATTGAAGGTGCTGCACATATTTCCTTGTCGCTTATGATTGTCACTGTGTCATGATTTTGTTTAAATTTTTGTAAAATTGCTTAGCACACTTACGATTGCTATAAATTTTGCTTCCATTTTTTTAAGATTTTCTAATTTGAGGTATCCAAACTAAAAACAAAAGCACCAAAAACGCACCAAGCACAAAACTCAAAAATTTTCGCGTTTTGAATACCCACTAAATTTGGTGCGAAAAGCATGAAGTTGGCAACAGTGAATGTAAACAAAAGTATATTATGACGTCAGAGATTGGACGGATGCTGTCAAATCGACGAAGAGAGGGTTAGCGGTCCGCGAATGGCGCGACCTTTATTTTCTGGATCGTGGAACATAACAGTATATTTTTTTTTGGGGGAACAACAACTACTACCATTCCTAAAAGAAAAGTCCAATGCCAAAGAAAGACCATGCAGTTGTATACACCATGATAAAAACTTAGTACGGTAAAACCGTTCTCTCAATTTGTCGACCATTAATATTTTTTTGAAGTTTGCCAACATTTTTAAATCATATAAAAGTGAGAGCAAAAAAAGGAATTGTTGTTGTTGTAGCGGCTACTAAGCCCCGTTCGGGGCGGTTCATCCATCAACATTGTCCTCAATTTCAGCTAGGGGGAGGCCCAGGAAGTGTGCGACTTCCACAGGGGCTGTCCATAGTGACAGGGGCGTTAGCTGAGTGGGGTTCTCAGGGCATGTGAAGAGGTGCCGGGAGTCATGCGGCGACTCTCCACATGCCGGGCATTGGTTGGGCACATCCTCGTTGATTCTACTCAAGTAGGAATTCAACCTGCTGTAATAGCCAGAGCGAAGTTGGGCTATTGCAGTGCGGGTCTCCCGAGGCAGACAAAGTTCTGTCCCGTCCACGTCCGGTGGTTGTGTGCCTAGAACGGCATTCACAGGGCGAGAGTCTTCATAACTTGAGACTGATTCCCTGTGAATGCCGTTCAGGGCCTGTCGGTAGGTTGACGGGTCCAGAGGTTGTGTGATAAACCTTTGGACTTCGCCTGTCAGTTCGTAAAGATGCCTCTTGACGTGCCGTGGCGAGGGCTCTTCCGCGAGCAGCTGTCCGCTGGGATGGCCACGTCTGTGGCTCCCAGCAAGGAACTGCTTGCAGAACATTATGTTGTGCTCCTTTACTGGGAATATCTGGGCCTCGTCATGTAGGTGGTGTTGGGACGTCATCAGGAGGCATCCTGTCGCAGTTAGTAATGCCGTATTTTGGCAGGTCTGTACCTTCATCCACTGCGTCCTGCTAGTCCCCGGCGACCATACGGGCGCTGCATAGTTTAGAACTGGCCGGTCAATTGCCTTGTATGTTGCCAACAACGCTTCATTATATTTGCCCCAAGTGGTGCCGGCCAACGACTTGAGGACATTGTTGTACTTACATTGCTGTCTGTACTTTGTTGACAATTGCGGTTGTATGCGCCGAGAAGGAGAGCAGACTGTTGAAGGTGACTCCGAGGATTTTCGGGTTATTCACCGTCCGTATTGTTACGTCATCGACGTGAATACCCAGTTGCAGTCTGACCTCTTCGTCCAGGTGGTGAAAAGGGTTGCCGAGGATTTCGCAGGGGATAGAGCAAGGCTCCTTGCAGTGAAGAAGCGAGAAAGTTCGGAGAGGTAACCGTTTACTTTCGAGCACAAGTCATCAATTCCATTCCCAGACGCCATGATCGAACAATCGTCAGCATAGGAGACTATATTAACACCCTCTGGTGGCTGACGAAGCTTTGAGATGTGATAATTAAACAGTAGCGGGGACAGGACACCACCCTTTGGTACCCCCTCTTTAATTTTACGTGGCTTGCTAGTTTTGTCTCAGAAAATTACTGACGAGTGTCAGGCAATTAGCCGACCACCGTTTCGAGTACCTGTGGGAGTGAGGAGGCCTCTAGTAGCGTTGAATGACTGACAGTGTCGAACGCCTTGGACAGGTCCAACGCTACTAGAATAGTTCTCTCACAGGGGCGGTTTCGGTTAAGGCCACGAGTTATCTGAGTGTTTATGGCGTTAAGTGCTGTTGTTGTGCTATGCACTTTACGGAACCCATGTTGATGCTTCGCTGGGGTCAGGTGGTTCGTAAAGTACGGGAGCAGCAGGGCCTCGAGCGTTTTCGCTACCGGGGAAAGGAGAGTTATCGGGCGATAAGACTCTCCTTTGTTGGCTGGTTTCCCTGGTTAGAGCAGTGTTCGAAGTTGTTGTTGTTTAAGATTGAAAATGAGAATGTGTGTGTGAGTTTGTGTGTAAAATTTCAAAATTAAATTGCTTGCAAACGTTAAGAATTTGAAAAATTCCTCTCAGCGGTTCTACCTTCCTATTTTTTATCATGGTATACAATATAGAAATTAGAAAATTTTAGTTGAGAAAAAGAAGTAGACGCAAAGGATTTCACAAAAATGTGTTGAAATGCTGTTATTTTGGGCAAACTTTACTTCAAGGACCCCCGATTTTAGGGGCGGAAGCCTTCTAGTTTTTAAAATATATAGTATCAAAGTTTTTTTTTTTTACTTGAGAAATCAACGACACCGTATATTAGACAAAGCAATACAAACATATACGCCAAAAACTCTTGACACCAGTTAAAATTGTTTCAGCATGCATTAATAGGTATTTTTACTTGAGTATCACTTAGGTATGAAGTAATATCGTCTAAAAATTTCGTAGGTGAAGCCATTTGCAACTCAGCGTGAATGCTCCAATATAAACAATGAAAGGAATATGTTACCACATGGGTCAAGCAATATAAAAAATATAAATATAATGCTGCTGAACACCTTTTTGCATTGAACGTCTTTCTGCGTAGGCGGCCTGCGGCCGCGCTTAGGGATTATAGCCCTTACTACGTAGAATTTTCCTTTCTGTGCTGCCAAAGAAAAGGGGATGAACACCTTTTGCATAGAACACCTTTCTACGTAGGCGGCCTTCGGCCGCGCTTAGGGGTTATAGCCCTCACTACGTAGAATTCTCCCATGATTCAATAATTATTATTGTTCACGAAAGTTTATTTTAATAAAAACGTAGATCGTACAAATGACATGGCAGAAAAATTAGCTGTATCCAATGGAAAATTCTCGTAGCCCTTTTATACAAGCATAACGGTAGAATTTGACAAGTACATAAAGTACAATACATACAAAGGAATGATACATATAAAGAACATAAATACATGAAATTAAAGCGTGAAGTGTGTGGTGAAATTTTGTATTTGCCTCCCATCTGTTTCGTCGTGCTGCCGGATCTGCAATAGTTAGGGTGTTAATTGCGACATCCCACCGACCGGTGGATCCTCTGTGGATTCACGATACTTTAAAGCGGCTAGCTTGCTGACTGGACGCCGAATAACTCCATGAGATGTCTGTATCGCTGCGCTTCGAATTCGGCTATCTCTTCCAGGGAACACTTCCACCACCCTTCCCATCTCCCAGCGGCTTCTAGGCAATGCGGGGTCACATACTATTACGAGCTGGTCCAGCTGGAGGGGATCGGTTTCCTCGGTCCATTTGGGACGACACAGCAGCTGTGGCAAATACTCCACCATCCATCGCTTCCAAATCCGGTCTTTGAGATTTTGGGCAATCTTCCATTGCTTTCGTGGACAGATGTGCCTCTCATCCAAGCTGGGTGTTTGCGTTGAGTTCGTACATCCAATTAAAAAGTGGTTTGGAGTGAGTGGTTCTTCGTCATGTGGGCTGACCGGTATTTCAGTTAGGGGTCGGCTGTTCACAATATTTTCTGCTTCTATTAGGGCACTTCGAAGTGTTTCCACTCGAGGAGCTTCTTCCTTCAACACTCGTTGCAAAAGTTTCTTAACGCATTGTATTAAGCGTTCCCAGCAACCACCGGCATTGGGATTGGCTGGACAATTGAATCGCCATTCAATGTTATGTTTAGTCATCTCTTGGTCGATGCGCTCAAAGTCAAACAATTTGTCTTCGGACCTCATCTCCCGCTGTGCACCCACAAAATTGGTGCCGTTGTCGCTTCTTATCCGCACAGGGACCCCGCGACGGTTGATGAAGTTCCGTAGGCAGATGACGAATGAATCTGTGGAGAGGTCTTCTGCTACCTCTAGATGGATAGCTCTTGTCGTCATGCAGGTAAATAAGGCCACCCAACGTTTCTCCGTTCTACGGCCAATAGTAACCAAAAATGGTCCGCAGTAATCCACGCCAGCATACGAAAACGGACGCACAAAGGGAGTCAAGCGATCCGTCGGTAGTTGTCCCATCAGCGGCACAGCGGGTTTAGCAGTCCAGTGGATGCATATTGGACAAGCTCGTTTGATTGATTGTAATAATTTTCGCGCGGATGGCACCCAATACTTCTGGCGCATTTCATTGATGACTAGGTGATCGTTTTGATGGTGTCTTCTTGCGTGGAACTGTTGCATGATAAGGCGTGTTACGTGGTGCTTTTGTGGCAGTATAATGGGGCGTCTGGCTGACAACGGTAGACAGTAGGCAGCATCAATTCGTCCGCTGACTCTTATGAGGTCGTCCTCATCAATAAATGGTGTAAGTTTGTGGAGGCAGCTACTTTTCGGCAGTGGTTGGTTCGCCCTCAATACTGACGCTTCGGACGGAAAACATTCGTGCTGGATGCGGCGGCAAATATACTTTTCAGCTCCTCTTACTTCGGCAGGTGTTAGCTCCCCTACTTGGCGACTGTGACTGCGAACGTTACTGATAAAGCGCAATGTCCAAGCCACGATTCTGGTGATCTTTAAAAATGAGGAATAATTAGTGAATTTGAATAAATCACCTGTTACAGTTGACAGCAAAATTCGAACTGGCGTTTCTTCCGATCCGTAATCTGGTGAATAAAGTTGGGCTGGTTCGTCTGGCCATTCCCTTTCACCAAGCTGCAGAAACTCAGGCCCCGCGAACCATCGATGTGAAGAGCATTTTGTAAGCGTTGCCCGTGTTGCATCGTCTGCTACATTGGCGTGTGATGGTAACCAGCGCCACATGTCACTGGTCGTTGTTGTCAAAATTTCGGCGATTCGGTGCTCAACGAAAGGTTTGTATTTACGCTCGCTTGAACGTATCCACATTATCACCGTTTGGGAGTCGCTCCAGAATATAAGACGGTGGATGCGGAAGTTCTGGCTCTGCTCTATGAATGTTTTGAGGCGACACCCCAGGATAGCGGCCTGGAGTTCTAGGCGTGGAATCGTCATTCCTTTTACAGGAGCACAGCGAGATTTGGCGCAGATGAATGCAACGTGCACTTTATTTCCTTGTCGCATTCGCAGATAGGCCACGGCGGCATACGCTGTGGAGCTTGCGTCTACGAAAATGTGGAGTTGTACTTCCTGGGCGATCGGTAACAGCTTTCCATAACATCGTGGTATCGAAAGAGTTTTGATGGTTTTAAAATTGGACCACCATGTTGACCATGAGTTGCTGAGGTGATTAGGCAAGTGCTCGTCCCACTGGATCTTCTGCTTCCACATGGCTTGTATCAACAGTTTTCCGGCAATTGTTATGCAGGCGAGAAACCCAAATGGATCGTAGATCGACATTACGATCGCGAGTAATTCTCGCTTTGTAGGTGGGCGTATACACTGAAGTATTTCTGGCGCAATTCTGCAAAACTTAAAATGAAACTCACACCTGTCTTTATCTGAGTTCCAGTACATGCCCAATATTTTGTCCACGTTTGCTTGCTTCTCCATGCTTATGATAGCGGCATTTGGGTTATCGTTACCATTCAGACGTTTTTGCAGGTCTTTACTATTGGAGACGAAATTCCTCAACTTAAACCCACCGGCTGCGTTTATGAGGATTGCCTCTTGGGCGACGGTTTCGGCTTCCTTCTCTGAATGGAAACTTATCACCAAGTCATCCACGTAAGTATTTCTCATGACCGCATCTACTCCCTTTGGCATCGTTGACGCAAACTGCAATGCATTTATATTTTTTACGTGCTCAGCACAACACGGAGAGCAAGCTGCACCAAAAATCATCGAAGTCATCACAAAAACACGTATTTGTTCGGAGTCTTTGCCGTTCCTCCATAGGAACCTCTGTGCGTGCTGATCGGCTGCTCTAATTTTGACTCGTGAGAACATTTCTTCGATATCTCCCGCAACAGCTACGGCTCCTTCACGAAATCGATGCAGAATGGCAAAGAGCGACTGTGCCTGGTCTGGACCCTTGAGCAACTCCGAGTTGAGCGACGTATAGGACGACACTGCAGCCGCGTCAAAAACAATACGGAGTTTCCCCGGTTTGTGTGGATTCATTACGCCAAAATGAGGGAGATACCAAGTTCTTGCGGAGTTGTTATCGACTTCGGCTGCGGATAGCTCTTTTGCATAGCCCTTCTCTATGTAACTCGTCATCCCTTTAATGTAGTTTTCAGCAAATATTGTATTTTTCTTCATCTTGTTTTCTATGGAATGTAAACGTCTCTTGGCCATGTCGTAGCTCGGGGGAAATCTAAAGTCATCTCGTTTCCACAACAAACCGATCTCGTATCTGTCACCAATCTTTACCGTGGTCGATTTTAGAATGGCCTTTGCCCGAATGTCCTCGTCACCTTCGGTAATTGCAGCTTTCACACCCAGGTTTTCTTGTGTTAAGTACTCTTCGACCATAGCGCACGTTTTCTTCGATAGGGGTGGTTCTTTTATCATAAACACCCTCGGTCTGCTGGTTTCCAGTTTGTCGATTGGGCCATACGCCAACCAACCCAGTTTTGTTTTTGCAGCAATTAACTGATTCGGCCCGCTGGTAATTGATTGTTTGGCAATACCGAGGAAGCTGTTGTCCAAACCCAAGAGTAACGTTGGCTTCGCAGCGCTGTAACTGGCGACAGGTAAATTACGAAAATAGCGATGTTTTTCAAACGATTGCTCTGGCAGGTTTAGACTTTTAACTGTCCGAACGTTCTTCAGGGGAAATACAATGCCACCATGACTCGCCTGTACTTCCAGCGATACCATGCGAGATCTCTCGGTTGCTGCGTTCTCGCCGTACCATTGTAGCGTAAGTAATGACGACTGGCCATTCAACCCCAGCTGGTTCGCGACGTCTTCCTCCAATAGTGAGATCGAAGAACCTTCGTCGAACATGGCATGTGTTTGCAAGTGGCCTTTCGGTCCGCGCAGTATAACGGGTATAATTTTAAATAATATGGAACGGCACTCATCTTGGCAACTTAAGACGACTTCCGTATTATTTGCGGCAGCTGATGTGGATGTAGGCATGTTCAATGGTGCATGCAGTAATCGGTGATGTACTCGTTGGCAACCTTCTATATTACACGCCTTCTTCTTACGGCAGCTTTGTAAATTATGTCCCCCTTGCAGGCATGCGAAGCAGAGACGTTGACGTTTCACAAGCGCCCATCGATTGTCCACATTGCGTGACTTGAAATGGTGGCAGTCTTCCAGTGTGTGCGACTGGTTACATGACACACATATCGGCTTCTGCTGTTGACTTGAGTTACCATCGCTACTGTGTAAAAAACGGCGGGAATTGGCAACCCTGTGACCTTCTCTGTGTATAACTCTGGATGATGTTGACATTGTACTCCTGTCAGGTATTTTTGGCATAATGGCGATGATTTTGGCTAAATTACCAATCCATTCGGCGAAAGTCTCTACGGTTGCAAATGGTGACACCGTAGATGCGTGCTTACTCCACTCGAACTGTTTCGAGGGCGGTAGCTTGGAAATAAGCTGATCCAGCAAAGTCGGATTTACCAGGTGCTGCTCACACTTGGCTGATTTAAAAAATGCTGTTATATTACGCACCTCACTGGAGAGCGCCAAGACTTTTTCGAGATGGTTCTCCGCTATGCTTGGAAATTGTTCCACCTTATGCAGCTGTGAACGAATCAGCAGCTCTGGGCGCCCGAAATTGAATCTTAGTTCGCTTATTATATCCCCAACGTTTTCAGGAAATATAAGAAGCGATGTTACTGACCGTTTAGCATCGCCCTTCAAAGCCTTCTGTAAACGCATAAGGTTTTGGCGATCGCTGTAGTTAAATTCTCGCGTTGTGTCAACGTAACTGGCAAAAAAGAGAGGCCAATCCTCGGGATTGCCATCAAACTCTGGTAGTGGATATAATTTGGCGGCGTATAATGCGGCCGATTCGATGCCATAAGGCGCAGACGGTGTTGGTTGAAGTGGTGCAAACGCATGAGGGTGCTGCGGCACAAATGCATGCGTCGACGGCTGATGCGACACACTTGCTGGTATACGAAACGATGACTGATGCAACGCGGTTGCTGAAACATTTAGTTGATGCGGCTCTGCGGTCGGAGTATGTGGCGATGGTTGATGCAACGCATACGCTGGTCTACCCAATGACTGTTCATGAGGCGCAGGTGCATGTAGTTGCTGTGGCACTGACGCATTGACAAATAGGTCTGAGTTGGCATGCAAATGCATCGTTGAAGT